AGCTGCCAGGCAGTGATGCAATGCAATTTCATGTCCTGTGAAATCCTCTGGCTGAGATTTCTTAATGTAAATTGTGATTATTATTTTTTTTGTATCCACTGAATGTGCTTCAACTGAGCTTACATTCAGCAAAGGGTACTTAGTACTGCCTGAAAATTTGGCTCCTATCGTTTGCAAAGTTGCATGCCCCAAATCAAAGTACTTTTGGGGAAGAAAATGCCCACCTTTTCTATTCTCATCCATCTTGATCTTGGCTGCTAAAGTGTAAAACTTGCCTTATAATCAATTTTTTCCTGGTATTTTTGCCCTGTGTTTAATATATGCCATATCCTTAGGGGAAAAATGCAAAGTGGTCCATTCATTGACCTGCTCCCTGCAAATGAATGTCATTGTTAGCACAGCCCAGCTCATTGCCTATTGATGTGAAAGCTGTAGTACAATTTTTTATGTGCCAAATGCCTCATTTTGTTTGCTTTAAGTCCCATTTTCTTTCAGTTTCATTTTAAACAGATGTTTTCTAAATCCCTCCACAAATAGCAATTACGTTTTATAATGATGATCTTTGTCACTTAAGTTTTTAACTAGTGGTTTGATTCCTGCTCCCAGCAATGTAAAACTGAGCTAGCTCTACTGAAGTTCAGGCTGTGCTGGTATAGTGGTGTTGATGAGTGGAAAAGTCAGGTATTTTTGGAGTTTTTGTACATTTCCAAGGATCTGGAATTAACACTCTTCACCTAAAGTTGCTCTATTTTAAATTTTAAGTATTATTTTCAGAAGATCCGTGTCCTGTTTGCTCTTAGCACAACAGGGAGTTTATGCAGAAATACCTGCCTTTGAAGCTCTGTCCCGGTTAATATTGTGGTCAGGGACTCTATGGGATCCATAGCCGCCAGTGGAAGAAGCTGTCCTCTGCCCTGTCATCCATCCATGTTGTGATTTAGCTGGGTTGTGGTGTTTCTCCTGCTCTGTCTCAATCCTCAGCAGTATTTCTCTGCCTCTCTCTGAACCGACTTGAGTCGATCTTTATTTGCCCTGTGGCTAGAGGCTGCTTATTGGTCTGTTGGTTTTGCTCCTTAGCTCCTGTACTTCACAGTACTGCAGTGTGACTTTCTGGTTTTCAGGTCCATTTATTTTAGCTTCAGCCTTCAAGGGATATATGAGAACGCTTTAAAGGAGCTTTGCTTTTGGAGAAATCACGACATGGAATTGAGTGTTGGAGCACTGAGTGTGTCCACCTATGGTGTTATTTTCTACCAGCCTGAGATAGGTAGGATATAAGGATTTTTCTCTGCTTTTTGGTGATGAACTTCCACAGCTTTGCCCTGGTAATGTGCAATTCAAGGAGCATGCACCATCTTAAACCCAACAGCCCATGTTTTTTATTTAATTTGGTGTTTGGGCCTTAGTCCCACTTATGGTTTACCTCTGGCAATGTGAAGTATCTGCCTTGGCCATGAGTATTTATCCTTTTCTTTGCATTCTTGAGGAGGAACTTCTCCTCTGCTTTCCTGCAGTTCTCAGGAGTAGTACTAAAATCTCCAAAGTTTGAGTTGAATAAAACCAAATCCAAATCTGAATCAGTCTTCTGATACCACTCCCCATATAAGCTTTCATACTGAGCTTCCAAAGCATGTTCTAACTCTGTCTTGGACCTCGAGATGCTGGCAAGGGTCTGGAGCCCAGTGCAAGTCTCTCATCTCCAGTCAGACGTGAATAGGCGATGAATCAGCAGCATTTTATCTCTGAGCCAAGAAACAGAATGTATTGCTGAAAGCTCATTATTTTGGTGTGTGTGTCTGACAATGGGATGATTGTTGAATATTTAGGCAGAGCAATTTTTGATTAAAAATTCTTTTTGTAGTGGCATGCAGGATGAATTACAGTCTGTGGGCACTGCAGATTAAATGCCTGTTGCGGGGAGCTGATCTTTGGAGCTGAGCCCATGAAAAGGATGCATTATGCTGCAAATTATTAAGTATTGATTTCTGTAATGGTCTGCAGGCATCAATGAATTTAGCAATATGCTCGTAAATAGAATGAAAAAGATTAATACCTCGGCAGAAAGATAATTACAGATACGTTTAAATGATGACTGTGGTGCAAGGTAGGTACATGGGTGTGTACTGCCATGGAGGACTTCAGTTCATTGTTGGGTACCAGAGCCACCCAGAAGATGTTGTCACCTTGGTTGTTTGCAGCTCGAGTTCCCAAAGTTTCTGGAGCTTGGGCCAGGCTGCATGCTGGGTGTTTGCCTACAGAGGGGTGTTTGTATGCAGCTTTCTTCCTCCTGCAGTTCTTGGAGGCTTCCTGGCAATGTGCTCCCTGCCATCCCAGCTAAGCACAGTTTAGCCTCTCGAGGAAAGCTGTTGCTTGCACGGTGTTTGTGCCAGTGATACCTTCTGTACAGTGGTTTAGAGAAGTTGCTACTGCAGTGTTTGCTCTCAGCATTCAGTGTGGAATTACTTCTCCTCAGAGATTTGCAATTTGAATTTGTCATTACCTTTTCTCTCTGTGCAAGTGTGTTAGAGCAATGACTTCTTCCAGAAGAAAGGAAATGGATTTTGTGTCTTAATTTTGTTGGAGGAAAGGCAATTTTCATGCTCTATCCCTAAGCATCGTTTTGACAACCGCATGCGGCACATCTTTGACTTACTGCTTTGCTTTGTTCAAGAAACAAAATTAGTGCTCTTCTGCAGATGTTAGTCTTTAAATTTCATTAGGAGGGATGGTAGCATCTGGGTCCTTAGGCCATTAAAAGCAAGGAGACAACTTTAGCTGCAGCTCACGGACTCATCTTGCATTTTGAGGTGGATGTGGAGCAGCAGCAGGAGTGGAACTGCTCTTCACAGAATCACAGAATGGCCCGGGTTGGAAGGGACCTCAAGGATCATGAATCTGCAACCCCCCTGCCACATGCAGGGCTACCAACCTCCCCATTTAATACTGGACCAGGTTGCCCGGGGCCTCATCCAAGCACTGTATCTCCAGGCAAGCTGTTATTGGTGCTGAGAAAATGCATGCTGTTGACCTCAACTATGCAAAATGCATGATTTTGATAAGGAATGGTAAGTGCTCACAAGAACCTTTGGTGATAGTTGAAGTTGGGGAATGACTGTGAGTGGTTCATTTGCTCAGTGTGGTATCTGAGTGAAAACCTGGGTCACGTGGAGTCTGTCCTTCTGGTCAAACTAATGGCATGCAGATATGCCGTTATGACACCCTGAACATTACTTGTTTGTATATTGTTTGCTAAGGTACTTCAAGGATATTTGTACAGTGTTACTTTTTGTTGTGTTTTGCTTTTATTCTCTGGGCCGCAGTGACATCTGAGTCTTATAAGACCTGCATGAAGGATGGCATAGGATATTGCCCAGTGAGGCTGCGGATGCCCCCTCCCTGGGAGCATTCAAGGCTAGGCTGGATGGGCTGTGAGCAACCTGGTCTAGAGGGAGGTGTCCCTGCCTATAGCAGGGGGTTGGAACTTGATGGTCTTAAAGGTTCCTACCAACCCCAAACCATTCTATGATTGATTCTGAGATTGACATCCAGGAGCATTGTGTGTAGTCTCAGAGGTAGATAATGAAATGTTGGATATACCACCCTGTAGGATGAGCAGGGCATCTGGACCCAGTACAGATTTATGGCCTGGTATTTCTGAGGATAGTAGCACCTCAGTGAAAAGTGAGGATGTGACAGTAGGTGAGTCAAATGGAAACTTTCCAGTTCAAGTGTGGCATCACTAATGGCACAGCTTGGAAAACAAACACACAAAAATCCTGGGTGCCCTTAGATTCTGAGACTGCTCAGAAAGCTGTGACTGCTACTAGGGTCTGTTTTCTCCAACTGATTGTCTCCAGAATCATATCATTTCAGGTCTAGTGGAAAACAAAGTGATGGATCACTTTTTTTCCTAAGTTTTTCCTATTTTTTTAAGACTTAAAATGAAAAATTCCCTATTCCAGCCCTCAGTCCTCTTTAGCTGTCACAAGACTTACTTGGATGGCAGTCACGTGCATCTTATGGCCACATTACAAAGCTACTTCAAAAGCAGGTAACATTAGCTGTTGCCTGAATATTTAATCAACTTTTTACCTGAGTTTTATTGCCAGCATGAGATCCTGTGAGTTAAGCTGTTTGTGCTGTGGATATACCTATGAGTAGAGAAAAGGAGGAGACCATTCTTTGACCTTCCACGTAAGCAGCTGATCCTGAAACTGGCAGTCAGTGATGCCAAGTGTCAGCTGTGCAAACAAATGTGTAGCAATTGTTCTTTGGATCAGCAGTTTTTTAGAGCAAACTGCTCATAATTTCCAGCAGTAACTTTTGAAAGTGCATTCCCTTCTCTAATTTTTTTTGTCTTCATGTTATATCTGCAGAATAAAATTGCAAAGCCAACTGATGCTTTACCATTACTTCAATTACATGGTACGTAGGTCGTAACTAACCCCAACAAAGCTGGCAGATTAGTTGTCTGTACAAAGTAGGTATAGCTGTTACTGATTTCATCCTGATCATCCTGTTTGAGATGATCAGCATACATGTGTCCTTCTTTAAAACCTTGCTGTTGGTGTCAAATTGGTGTTACTATTGCATATGAGGAGTTCTACTAAAGGGCCAGCTGTGTAAGCTTTAGCTGGCACAGTGCTGTACATGGCCTGATTAAACCTTGCAGCTTTGATAAATATGAGTGAACGGAAGAACAGAATGCTCTTGGACAGAAGAAAAAATGTTGCTGGACAAACAGTTGATATTGGTAGTCAAGAAGCACAGAAGATTTGAAGACGGGCATGCATCTAGATCTTAATATATCACAATTTGTGTTCACATCATGTTTGCACAGCTGGTTTTACAGTGGTCCTATAAAATAACACAGCATTGTCCCATGCATCGTTAACGCTCATGGAGTTCTGTTGTTGTAATGCATATCAAATGCATGTTTCATTTAGTTTACAAATGAGTACTGTTACCTGATTTTCTTTCCTTTGTTTCCTTTTATCCAGCTGGTACAGCATCTGGAGTTGGAAACCATGCAACTAGAAGCCTTTCTGGAGTGGAAGCAACTGGAAGTGGTTTACTGGCAGTGGATGGTAATTAAAGAAATTTTAAAGGATGCAACTTTCTTGACTCTAACCAATAGCTGACCACTTACAAAGACTCTTTTCCACAAAAACACTGTGAGACATCTGTTAAACAGCACTTCAGAAAAGGAAAAAGGGTTTGGTAAAGAGAGCGATGTGTTCTTAGTCTTCTTCATCCCTCAGTTTTCTTCAGTAAGACTGTGAGTCTTACCAGCTAAGCTGAGGAATTGCAGGGCAGAGTAGCAGAGCTCCATAAAGTTAATACAAATGAAAATGCTTGATCTTCATCTCTTTAATGTTTTTAAACATAACAGTCATACATTTCGTTAAAATTAAATGGGTTTTCAGAAGAGGGACTCTAAGCTTTATTGCAGACTTGAGAGCAACTAAATTTGCAAGCAGCTGATACTGAAAACAACTTCATTTTTTCCCAGCCAAATAGTGTGTTGAAATTGGCAATTTCCCCTTGAACTGTGTTGAATGATCATAAGAAAATCAATAAGCCTTTCTGTGTGCATCTTTGGATTTCTCAAGTGAGTGTAAACGGCAGCATCCATCTCACTTCTCTCTGCAACTTCTGTCCATTTACAGTTGCTGAAAATAATTCTTCAGAGCACTTCATTAGCTGCATGAGTTTACAAAATTTTGGGAATCAGTGAGCTGACTATTAATTGCCCGCATGCATCGTTCTACACTAAAAACCAGGCAGAGGAGTGTAAAATTACCTCACCTGTCTTGAAGAATACTCCCAGTGCAAAGCCGTTTGAATTGCCATTAGTTATGTAATGGCTTTTGATTACTCATCTTCCATCTTATAACTGGAAAGCGTCAGCTCCAGAATAAGCCTGTCTCCGAAGTCACACTGGCAAAATGGAAGGGCAAGTGCTATGGCATTTTGGTGTAGCCACCTCAACCATGTTACAGTGGGGAGTACTGTTGTGGTTAGTGCTTGCATGCTTCCTGGAGTTCAGTCCTAAGTAAATACTTGCAAAAAACCCAGCCAGCACATCTTTATTTAATGAGTTAAATGTGGCAGTGGCTTTGTTCAGCAGGATGTTGATGGTTGTGTTCCCATATACTGTAGGTTGTATGAAGATGAGATGTGCTTTGAAGATACAGAATTTCCTCTTTCCATTTTTACCCGTATTTTCCCTTGCTGATCTGGTGGACAGAATGATTCTTGCATAATTACTGCCCTCCTGATGGTTGTGCAGAACATTAGTAATGTATTCCTGATGAAGCTCCCCTGTGCTGATTACTGAACGCTCTGGTATTGATGGGCACGTCTGCTCTGCAGCCTTCCATCTGCGAGTGTCTGTATCTGGAGGCACTGCTCAGTTTCCTTACTCTTACCCTTTATAGGATATGTTCACTGACCATCAGATTACAAGCTTATTTGCCATTATTTCTGCCATTATTTCTGGCAGTGTGTTTCCATTCCCCTTGCCCCATGCTCTGATTTATGTGTGCCCTTACAATCTGGGGAAACTCAGCTTGTGTGCAGATGGACTCTGGGATGCGGTAGAGCATGGGCGACTTTAAATGAATTTTGAAAGATTCGCCCACGGTCTATGAATGTATCCCTCAGCATTTGCAAATGGAAAATGTCTGAATGCCTGACTGGGCTCCCCAGCCTTTATAGGGATCCACCAGCTAGGCTCTGAAATTGGAACGTCTCTTGCACTTATCTTTGCCTGATTCAGCAGCTGAACTTGCATGTTTCTGTAGGAAGACAGCTATTTAGTATCTCCACATCTTTGCATGCTTGCTTCTTTTTTTTTTTTTTTTTTTTTTTTTTTAAACAAGTGCAGCAAACTGTCAAGAGAATTTTCTTCCATACTGTCTTAGTTCTGGGTTGTCAGATGATTTTAACATTATTATTAAAAAAAAAAAAAAAAAAAAAGAAACCAAAAAGCCCACAACTTTTCAGAGTTGATAAAGCAGACATTTCTGCTAAATATAGGTGCTAGCCAGTTTTCTAGAGTTTGCTGTTAATGATACTTCTTCACACACTGAAATCGATTGTTTTTAGTTGTAGAAATGACAACTTGTGATGCTTATGGGAATGTGTGGCTCTGCCTTACACCCATCCCTGTGCTAAGGTGCAGCCCTGCTCTCCACTACTATCCTGACACCCTTCCCTCCTGCTTTCCACTGTTCTAATGCCTTTTCTTTCTGCATATCCTTTGCTGTTCTGCCATCTGTTTTCTTCTGTGTGCTTATCTGCTACACTGGATGCAGAGAGTTGAGCAGAAAGAGGTGAAACAGACTCCGTGAAGGCAGCAGGGGCTTCATTATTGCCCCATGGTTGTATGGGAGCCCTCAGGCACTGCTTGCTCTTGGGCTGTGCTGCAGCACCCTGGTTGGCAAGGGTGAGGATGCTGGGTCTGAGATGTGACATTCACAGCAAGGCAGAGCAGTGGTCTTAGGCCAGAGCGTGGCTTGACTGCAGCAACAGGAGTGGCTGCAGTAATTTTGCTCTAAAATTCTCTTATTTAGTAAATTTCAAATTTAAAAGGAAAAAAAAAGCTTAGTGTTACTGCTGTGCAGCTTGTCAGGCTGTCAGTTGTTGGTGACATCTTGCAGAGCTGCTGCTGGCTTAGAAAGGAGGGTTTTCAGGGTTTCTTTTGCCATTCTTGGCTCTCTTGCAAGGCTTTTCCTTATATCAGCCTAAAAACCTCTTGCTGCGAAGAAAGCCAAAGTTTTGTACCTACCTGCGTAGAAAAAAGCAGCGAGAGAGAAAAATTATTCTCATCCTCTCTACAGCAGCCTTCTATTAAAGTGAAGGCTGTTAGCATGTCACTGCCTTCCTAGTTCCTCTTTCTAGGCTAAACAAAATTGGTTCTCGTAATGCCTCCTTGTAGGCCATTCCTTCAACTTCTGATGGCTGTTGCTGCTCCAGTATGGGATTTCCTATCCCATCTGTCTGTGTTTAACTTCAGGTGCCTCACCCGTACATCAGTGTTACGGTCAACTCTCTTCTATCACAGAGACTTGTGTTTATGCTTTCTAGCCTGGTGCTTGCATTTATCAGGATGACATTGGTGACAGGTGATTTTATGGCATCTCTACCAGCAGTGCTGCTGCTGAGCCAGTAATTACACCTATGTTTTTGCCTTGCCCACGTGTTGGCCATGCTGCTTGACTGCTGAATTTGCTCTTGCTGTTTTCAGATTGCTTCTCCAGTTTTGAAAGGTAATTTTGAATGCTACTCATGTCCTTAAAAGAGATTATGATCTCTCCTGTTTGATGTTTTCTTGATAGCAAAATGGGAATAAATATTTAATATCCTGAGTGAGGAGGGCTGGGTCTCCTAGTTACCCTGTTGTGGCACAGAGACTGTTTCTTTGTAATTTATGCACTACGTTGTAGAGGTACATAGGTTTCAAGGACTCTGATCTTATTTGGGTTTGGTTTTTTTTTTTTTTGAGTTTCAAATAATGATTGCTACTTCTGAAGGCGGCTGCACAAATCATTTTGTAGCCAGTGGAATGGGCAGGACCAAGCAGAACTGATGGAGCTGGCCAGCCTGCAGCAGGGATCTCACGGAGTTCCTTGGCTTGGAGAGCTGGATGTAGACACAGATAGGGTGTGGATGTCACAGCTTGCTGTGGCGCACAGCTGATGGGCAGTGCAAGCACAGTGCTTGTCCTGGTCATCACTGTGTTACAAAAAGCCATGCAAGTAGAATTGAAGGGGAAAGGGCTTACATATTGCTTCTGCAGTGCTGGTTGTTGTTATCTCAAAGTGTGACTTTATGCTTCAGTAATAGCAGTGGAGAGCAGCTCACAGCATGCAGTGCTTTCTAAAATGGGCTAAGTTAGCAGTGTAAGTCTTCTATTAACTCACATTAGAGTGAACTAAAGAGGTTCTCTTAAAATAGCTGTGTACTCTGAGACAGCAGCAGTACGTTCCTAGCCATGGGGTACTGAGAAGGAGGGGAAGCATTATAGGACCTGCCAAAAAGAAACTTCTGTTGTTTTTTCTTTTAGGAAACCGTGTTAGATAACATGGCTGAAGAGGGAAGCGTGCGCTCGGTGCAGGACGCTCCTGTGGAGACCAGCAGGCTGCAGGAGGGGGCCACGTGCTGCCCCTGGGCTGAAAGCATGACTGCGCAAATCGACAGGTTGTCTGGGGAGATGACAGCTCTCCACAGCCAGCTGGACAAGCTGGTAGCACGCCGAAGGTCTGCCTGGTGTCAGAAGGTGAGCTTTGAGGCGGCCGTTGCGATGGGAAGCAACTTCTCACATCCTTTATTTTTCAGCTCTCTCGCTGTGTCCCGTCTCAGGGCAGCCTCCCTGTTGGTGCTCTGTGTTAACCTACAATTGCTTGTCTGTTTTTGCCCACAGCGTGCCAGGTGCTCTTTCAAACACAAAGTAAGCAGGTGTCCCAGAGAGGCAGTGTGCTGAAAACAAAGTAAGTGTTCTTGCATTTGGAAGTGAAGGCATCAAAGGATAGGGGTTACAGAGGAGAGAATGAGAAGAGGAAGAAATTGTGGCAGCCTCTGGAGGGGACAGAGGCAGCAGGCTGAAAGCATCTGTAATAGTTGCAGCAAGAAAAATACAAGTTAGGTATTCACAGGGAAAGGAGGGTGTGAGAAGCCAGAACTTGTCTTCTTTGACTGAGTTAGTCTTTGAAATGTCTGATGGGGAAAGGAATAAGAAGGTTTTGAAACCTGTGAAGTGAGAGAAGTGCAAGTTTTGGTGCAAGAACAGACTGGGTGTGGGAGGTTGGCTGAGGAGGAAGGCAGGTGATAGGAAGGAAATGTACGTGGTGTTCGCTAGCATCAAGATAGGGGGGGCACAGAGAAACACCCAGAGGGGTACTGGGGCATAAATAAAAGAGCTGTTAATGCAGATTTGGGAGATGAGTCTGAATATTAGCATGCTGACACAGGGAGAAGATGCACTGAAGATGCAGGCGTAGAAAGTAGCTTTTTTTTTTTTTTTTTTTTTTACAGTCATAAAGGGGAAAGAAGGATTCAGAGAGTCTATGAAACCAGTTAATGGGAAGGAAGTAAAAGGAACAGTTGGGTCAGGTAGAACACCAACAAAACTCTCCGTGTCACTGTTTTGAATCCATATTAACTCATAATTGTTAACTTTTTGGTTTTTTTTAGTTTGAAGTGTGGGTAGTTGGGATTACAGATCAACTGCCAGAATGAAAGGTAACAGATATTTGCTCAAGAGTTCACAGGAATCTGGCATGGGAAAAAATGTATGGAGAAAAACTGGATCACTCTCTTCTACTGTAAGAATAAGGAGCCAGTTGGGCTTGGTTGGATAGGGGCAGGCATGAGGTGCTGCTGCTTCATACTGAGTGTGCAATCCTCCCCATGGGGCACTGAGGATATGTTAGCAGCACAAGTGAGTTCAGAATCTGTTGGTTACGTTCTTTGAAGAGGAAATCCACTAAAAATTATCCAATACACAAATGCAAATTATAAGCTTGGCAAGTTGTGGGATAAAAATCTTTGCAGGCTAAGAGAATATTCTGAAGTATCTCCAGTATATTTCCTTTGATCTTGCAGTCTTCTCCAGGCACTTGCTGTCAGTCACAGTCAGATGGGGTGCTGGTCATGCAGGTCTCTGGTGTGGTCTGGCTTAGATGCTTCTGTGGCAAAATGGAGATGAATGTTGCAGGACAGCTCAGACTTTGAAATTAAAAAGTAAACTTCCCACTGTGTGATTTCCAATATGCTCTGACTCCGTTTATGTATAACATTATATATGCCTGTTAGATATGATGTAGTAATCACAGTAACTTTTTATGCTTTAATTTGGAGATGAAGTCCAATAACGTTGACAAACGAATGCTGCACAGTGCATTGAATCAGATGCACTGATTGTTTTTGAATGATGTTTGGTCAAGTTCCACTATTTCTGAGATTCACAGAATGTCATTTGATTGCATAACTGTGGGAAACAAATGGAGTGTGTCTTGGTGTGTTGTTAAAAGGATAGTTTATTGCAAGTGCTTCCTCTTCTGCATCCCCCAGAACAGAATTGTTTCATAATGCTGCTACGTGACAGCATTTTGGAAAGCCTGGAGGTCAGATGACTCTCCATTAATCCTCTTTAAATCAACCCTTCTTTCTGTCAGCCAAGCTGTTTACGTGATGCTTTCTGCCTGCAGTCTGCCTTTTTCCCCCAGCCAAGATGCTCGCTGAGTGCAGGCTGCTCTATCAGTTGTGTCCCCTTCAGTCCTTTCACTGGAGAAATAAGCTTATCACATCTTTCCTTCTATGTTCTTTTTTTAGTCAAACAAAGAGAAGTTCCAGCGAGCGGTAGCTAAAGTGGTCATTATCTCTAACTTTGTATCTTGTGATAGTGAGGCATCTGGAAATTATCTTGGCTCTCACAAGCATGTCCATATGAGGGACAGTAAGTTTTATTATAGCTGCTGTGCCCACTGTGTTGTACTTCATGAGAACCGTGATAATCCACCAAGTAATTATGTTGGTTGTTAGCAATGCGCCTGGTGTCTGTGCCAGGCAATTGAGTAGAAACTATTCCAAAGAAATGAGGACATGTGATTAGATGTGATATTCTGGGGAAGAGACAGCCACAGTTTTTAAAGAGAGGAATCACAAATCTAAAAAATCTGCTGGAGCTCTTGGAGAGGGGACCACTGAGCGTGTGGGCAAGGGAGGTTGGGTTGGCTTGACCCACTTGCATTTAGAAATGGTATTTGATAAGGTTCCTGAAAGGATTCTCAGCCAAAATAAACTACCCATGTGAACGTGTTTCCTCTGACCCTTGAGCGAACACAGCAGGAAGAGGAGAGCAGGCATCTGTGATCAGTTTGCACAGGGGGAGGTGAAGAGCAATGGGCACAAGTGAAAGAAGCTCAATCACGCACAAAGCACTGCAGGAAAGGATCAAGGACCCTCTTAGAATGATAGAATGGCTTAAGTTGGAGGGGACCTTAAAGATCATCCACTTCCCAGCCCCATGGGCAGGATTGCCAACCACCAGATCAAACTGCTCAGGATCCCGTCCAACCTGGCCTTGAACACCTCCAGAGATGGGGCATCCACACCTCTCTGGGCAGCCTGTGCCTCACCGCCTTCTGAGTAAAAAAAATCTCTGCCCAGCATCTAACTTGAATCTTTTAGTTAAATCTTTTGGTTTAAAGCCATTCCCCCACGTCCTATCACTATCAGACTGTGAAAAGTCAATCCCCTCCTGCTTCTAAGCTCCCTTCAAGTACTGGAAGGCTACAGTGAGATCTCCAGTACTTTTGTGGTACTGAATAATTAAGTGATAAAATGTCAGATAAAATAGGATGGGAGATAAATGGGAGATAAAAATGCATCTGAAGGAAAATCATAATTTTATGCCTGTTTTTGTGATCTGGCCATCATGTCGTGTGAATGAGTTCTTGGGGTTATAGTAGTAGTTCTTGTGAAAATGTCAGTGGTCACAAGTAGTAAATTAAATCCTAAGAATTGTAAGCAAGGCAGAAGAAACTGAAATTTAAAATATTTCTATTGGTTTCTGGCACAACGTGTGCAGTTCTGGTTGTTGTCTGAGCTAAAAGAAAGATGTGATTGAGCTGGAAAGGCATAGAAAGGGGAAGTGATGATGACCCAAGCTGTGAAAGGGCTTCTGTGCAAGGAACATTCAGCTGGTTTAGGGCTCCTTGCTCTCCAAGAGGCAGTGAAGGGAAATATTGCGTTGGAGCAGAAGCAAGCAATTGTACTGTTCTGCTGCTCCTTCATCCTCACGACTGGGCAGGTTCATGAAGAAAAAAATCTGTTGTTAAGCAATAAATATGAAAAGTGTTCTCTGGCCAAGGAAGCCCTTCAGCCAAAAACTGCTGAAGTTTAGAATTTTGTGTCTTCCAGTGAAGTATGGCTATGTATTTGTCTAGTGCTGAACTTCTCTTGCTACTGGGTGCTGAGCTGTGTTGCAGACAGGCTGCTGGGTGAGGTGGGCTTTGAGGGGTCTCTAACATAAAAATGGGAAGACTACAGTGAGATAGGAATTTTCAAATACAAAGAATACAAGTTTTCGTGAAGGGAAGAGAATGGGACAAACGTGCTTAAATCACAACACAGTTCTCATTGCATATTAAAGAAGTAATTTCCTCGGACCCTCTACAAAGCAGGTTATGCAAATATCTGTCAGGGATGTCTGAAGAGGAGCTGGACCTGCTGTACGACTGTGGTTTGGGCTTGAAACCTGAATCTGTGATTGACTGATGAATTTAGACAAGGTAGAGGTATTTCAGGTGTGTTAATGTCAGAGCTATGCTATGCCACAGTGTCTGGTTTGCAGCACTGAACACAACTGCTCATTATTCAGGATGAGCTATCAAGGCAAGATATCTGGCTTTTATAAGATTAATAATTTGTACTGTGTGCTTCTAATAGAGAAAACTATCCATCTTTAATCTTCTGAAATTAAGTAAGTTATTTTCCTCAGGAAAGCATTTTCGTTTGTTTCTCTGCCTGCTCCCAGCTCTTTGTTTTTTTTCTGTCCAGTTTTGTGCTTGGAACGACCCTGAAACCATTTCCCTTTCAAGGACATTGACTGAAGATTACTGAATGTTGCTATGGGATTTGGATGATTCGTGAAACCCTGATTAATATGACATTTTAACTGATACCCATCTGCAGGCAGAATTGTGTTTGGTATCTTGGAGGAGAACAGGCATAAGATGTACCTGTATGGGCAGAGGTGTGATCTGAATACGTGACTTTCTTATAGTTAGCTCTGCTCTTTTCTGTTCAGCTCTATTCTTTTCCATTCAGCCCTGGGTAAATAATCGCTTCTTCTTGGATGACATTTTGGTTGTTAAGCTTCAGAAATGTTTCTCTGCTTGAAGAAAAATGTAACTGAAAAAGAAGTCGTCTCCAAATTTGAAAATAGATCTTGTTTGTTTGTTTGCTCCTTTCTAAATATTTAAAATATTTATCCTCTACTCCTCTGATTGTGGGGCATCTTGATTTCAGGTTGAACATTCTGTATCCAGGAGCTGGAGAAGCGGGTGCGTGACTCCAAATGAGGATCCTCCTCAGTTTTAATCACACAAATGCTCACCTGCTACTGAGCTTCTGTTGGAGCTTGTGATATTGTAATGTGCGATCTTGGTGTTTGCTAGGATTTAAAAACAAGCTAGACTCCTTTCAGGTGATGGTGTGAGGGAGCTTACTCATATAAGCATCTCTGAAGTATGGCTGAGAGAGAATCAGAGCCAT